GACTGTTGGTTGTAGTGTAGTTTCAGCTATTTACCTGTAACTAACTGTTTAGTATCTATGCTAGGACGATGTCATCATCAATCAGATTGGATTTTAATTTTTGCAAAAACAACTATAATCATAATCCTGCACAGTCAAAGAAGACTCATTTAATATTTTGATCAATGATGATCAAATAATGATCAAGTTTTTGATCATTTTCTGTCTGATCACATTTCTCTGCTATTCTCTTCAAATTTGATTTCCATATTCCATATTCATTACAGTTGTATTCATATTGTGAATATGAAGCTCTAATTTCAGTTACTAAGAAATGACTTTGTTCTTTTTCTGTTAATTAAGAGTACATGCATTCAATTATGATTGTTCAGGATGTTTTGAATTTGGGATATCTCAGATTTAAATGTCATAACATGCAGAATGTTCGAATAATATATGAGACACTCTGGACTCTGGACTTGTAAATGTAAAAATTGACGTATTTCTTTACCATGTTTGTCTTGTATAAAATAAACAGGATTAAAAGCATAGTAAACAGGCATTGTCAGTTATTTGCTCATATTAAAGGTCCATTCTCTGCATTTTCTTTCATTTTTTCTTTCATTGTTCACTTATAATGCTTGTGTGTTTTTATGTACCAAAAATAGTGATTTTCACCAAACCATTCATAATGTATCTTTATCCCTTACAACTGCATAAAATTTGTTACTTTTTAAGAGTGATATGTAAATTACCTCTGTACAGATCAAATCCTGAGTAAGGTCAGAAAAAATCCGTGTCAGTCTCTTTCAGATGTCTGGATCTTTTGGACGGCTACTGAACTGAACTTTTAGTAGTATCTGTGCAGCATTTCCATCTGCTAACCTACATGGCTGTAATCAAACCTCAGCCTTTCACAATCAGGATAAACTCTTCATAATGAGCTGATGGTCTGGAGCAGGTGTGTTCAGAAACTAAGCCCAGCTATATTATTAGCCACTGTCGTAGTAGCCATACAGCAGTTTTTGTTCAGAAGACAGTGCTGTAGCTTGTGTTGCTCAATTAAAAAAAAAACTATTCAGAAGACCAGATAAGAAGCTATGTTCTTTATTTATATCCTCAGTCAGTTGTTTTCAGAACACCAGGAGCTTTTTTTTTAATAAGGACATCTTGATCTTCTCAGCAGTGAGTTACCTTCCTGTATCTTCCCATTCTTGTTTGATATAGGATTTCAGCAGTTCAGGGACTCCTTTGTCATGTTTTTCATTTCATAATGTGCCAAATGTTTTCAGTGGGTGACAGATCTGAAATAATCAAGGCCTTCCCTGAAAACAACATCGTCTGGATAGCAGCATATGTTGCCAAAACATGTATATATTGTTCAGCATTAATGGTGCCTTCACAGATGTACACTATTGCACCCCTATACCATCATGAATACTAGCTTTTGAGCAGTGCACTGATAACACTGATAACTGAGTGGTCTTTAGCCCGGAAGACACAGTGTACATGATTTCCAAAAAGAATTTCAAATGTTGATTTGTCGGACCACAGGACACTTCTCCATGTCCCCTCAGTCCATTTTAAATGAGCTCGGGCCCAGAGAAGGTGGCAGCGTTCCTAAATCCTGTTTATATGGTTTCGTCTTTGTGTTTTAGAGTTTTGACTTGCATTTGTGGATGCAGCGACAAACTGTTTTCATAGACAGTGTTTTTTGGAAGTGTTCCTGAGCCCATGCATTTATTTCCACTACAGAATCATGTCTGATTTTAATGCATTGTATATTTAAGCAAATATTAAAGACTAGCTCTAATAGTAGTGCCACTAGCAGCAGTTGTTGAGTCATGAACATACAGTGAGGTCAAAACATCTGAGACCACATTGAAAAACTAGAAATTTTAATTCGAACTTGGAAATAAACGACACAAAGAACAGCTGTGAAAAGAGAAAGATATTCAATATTTAAGCACATTTGTGACAATGACCTGTTAAGACCTTTGTACAAATTGAAGCTTGTGTTCAGAAACTCTCAGGTGGATCTGATCTACGTATCAGAGGCTGTTACATGAACTTGTATGGCAGCTTGAATGTCATTAAAGCAAATGTGGGATATACTGTTCCAAATACTAAGAAATTCTGAAATTCATGTTTAAATTAGGTAAGATTCTACTTTTCACTCAAATTGTTATTCTGGTAATATGATTTGCAGTGAAAAGCTTTGTGTTAAGTCACAAAGGAATGCAAAATAAAAACTTTTCACTTGTGGTCTCGGGCTTTTGGAACCCACTGCAGTAAGAGACAGAAACAAAAGAATGATTTATTAAGATATATAATTAATTCATAAATACCATTTTATCTCATTTTATCTTAGCCAAGACAATTTTTATTAAATTGTCTGATCTTTTGTGTTAGGAACATTTTTACGATCCAGAATCTCACTGTGGGTTTTTGGAAAAGAGACTGTACAACATCTGCTGAAAGGTAGAGGATGGTCAGCGGCGATACAGAACACACAAGCAAAGCAGTGACGATGAACCAAATTCTGACCACAATGAGGACGATGGTACTTGAGCAGCTAGGGGATCAACCTGATGAAAAGCTCAGACCATCTGCAGACAACATATCATCAGTCAAATCAGCAATGCAGAAAAAATTCACCTGGCGCAGATCACGGATAGCCAGGCCCTCCCTCACCATGACTGAAGTCTTCCAAAAATATCCACGATTCCTGGACATGCCACATCTGGTAGGTACCTTTTTGCACCTTCAGTTATTGTTATTTGTGTCCCCCTCTTGTTAACGCATATTCAAAAAAAAACATTAGCAGTGACATGTAACATTTTTAATTGATAATTTTTAGGAGTATTGCGTAATACAACATTAGTTAAAACATGTACATCTCTGGTGGCAATATGAATTCCTTCCAAAGTCTTCTCAATTGTCAAAAAGCACTGAAGAGGGTTTTAAAGAGGCTTCTTATAGGCATGTTACACCACACATAGGGAACCTGACAATATTTTATTGTTATTGTGGTAAATTATGTCACAATTAGGGGTGGGAATCTCTAGGCACCTCACGATTTAATTCGAATTGCGATGCGATTATAAAACAATTATCGATGCATCTCGATGCATCTATACATGATTTCTATTTTCTTACTGTCTGAGGACTTGGTACCTTTAAAGCTAAGTATTTGTAATGATCCATAATGCATTTATGTCCAATATCTTTTATTAATAAAACAAATGGAAGTGATGGGGCAAGTGAACTGGAAGGCTCTCATTCACTGCTCTTGTTTGAGACGCTGCTGCCACTCATCTGCGATAAAATGCGCTGTTAGGGTGTAATAAGATCCAGTGGTAATGGATGACCACGCAGCACATTATAGCCGTCCTGCTCATTTAATTCAGTGATTTTTTAACTTCGGTTTTGGTCTCTTGGTAGAGACGGGGGACAGGGGACGGGGGTTCACTGTGTCAGTAAAATATCTTCGAGACGGGGCGTGTGCAACATAGCGCGAAACCCCTGTTTCTCAACGACTGAGAATTGGCATGCAGACTGCAGGTCACCTAGCAACGAGGTTTCGTCTGGCTAGTAGTAAACAAAAAGGAAAAGAGAAAGACAGACGAACGTTTGGAGATGAATGGACTTATTGGCATTTATAAGCAACGTAGTTGGTTTCCTGATACGTTAAATCTGCAAGAGAGGCTGTCAAACAGTAAAAAGTTGCGAAGATGAAGTCGCCTCTCTTTCTAAACAGGAAAGTTCAGCAACAAGCTGGCGAATGAGAAGCGACTTCAGCCTCGTAAAACAGCCGAAAGCTGAAAGACATTTTACAAGAAACTATTTAACTTTTGAGGAAAAGTTTTCTAGCCGAGATGGAAGAAAAGTGGCTATAGCTAAAGCTTAAAGCAGAGTAGAGTAAGTCTGCGCTCTCATTTATATTGTTTAGCCTATACTCCATTAACACATATTGAGACATACTGGACATTAAATGTTGTGGCTCCCAAGGTGGTTTGACTTTGTTGAAAGGCAAAATGGCTCTTCTGAACATTTGGGTTGTGACTCCTGATCTAACCTGGCTTTAACGCAGAGGGAGCCACTCGGATTTCTCACTCATCCAGTAGTGTTTTTGTTATGTGCCGCCACAGACTGTCCGGGCGCTGCACTTCCGCACTTCCAGTTCTGCCTTTTGCGTTCCGTCAACATTACGTTATAAATGAAATATTTAGAAAATCGATTTTTGACATTGAATGAATCTATACAGAATCGTGTGCGTCCGCATCGCGATGCATCTAAGAATCGATTTTTTCCCGAACCCTACTGAACTCGTACTTTAGTTCAGTCCGTTTCAGGTGTGAACACTCCACCCGTACTCGGGTGAGCACTAAACACATGAACGGTGGTCCGAAAAAAAACTGAGTTCTCTTCCAAGTGAACCAGGGTTCATTATTGCTTTTTTATTGCTTTGACTGTGATACACATAGACCTTAGGCGTCTCAGTTTGATGCAACCTAGGACATTTTTGGCTCAGATGGTGGTAAATGAGAGTGCACTGCAGCTGATGCAGTATGAAACCATATATACATACATACATACATACATACATACATCATCTAAACCACTTATCCTTCTGGGTCGCGGTGGGGTGCTGGAGCCTATCCCAGCTGTCATTGGGCGGAAGGCAGGATACACCCTGGACAGGTCGCCAGTCCATCGCAGGGCAGACAGACAGACATACACATTCACACACACACATGCACACCTAGGGGCAATTTTAGCATGTCCAACCCACGCAGACACGGGGAGAACATGCAAACTCCACACAGAAATGACCCTGGTTGCCTGGCCGGGAATTGAACCCAGGCCATTCTGCGCTACCGTGCCGCCCAGTATGAAACCAACTGTACCTAATTAAAAAGACACAAAATCACAGTAACTCAGACTCTGGTTTGAACAAGGTGTGAAAACAGCCTTAATATAGAATCTTCTCACACTGAATTTAGCATGTAGCAAACCTCCTAGCCCGCCCCGTTCATGTATTTCCCCGTCACAACCATAGGTATAGCGCCTCTCCACTGCAAAACATTCCTGGTGCTATCCCTGTCCACGTCCCGACACTGAATAACACAAATACCACACACTTGTGACATTACAGTGTTACTTTTATTCATCATTGTTGGGCAGCCTCACTTTAATTTCTCTATCATTTCACCGTTAAATCAGGACTCCAGTACGCTTCAGATTTTTGCTGATAGACAAAGTCAAATATACAAATACCTCTACAAAATGCTGTATAGCCTCATATTCTTAACATTAATGCTTGATATTTAACCGCCTGATTTCTGAGCTTCTGCGACCACACTTTTTTTTTTTGGATCAGTAAAACAGGATACTTATTCTGTTGCTGTTAATTTGTTGTTTGATTTTATGATTCGTTTTTGAAACTGTAAAATGAAGCTATTTCTTGATTTTTCCACCGACAATAACAGAACCAAAAACAAGAATCGACCCATTTTTTGTTTTTCAATACTGGATTTTGAAAAGAAAATAAAATGAACAGAAAGTACACGGACGGTTCAGCTGTGTACATGAAATATACAAACACCCACACAAAACCTAATATGGACCATCAATATGTCAGAACCACAGGTCTGTATTCTGAGCTTCTGCGACCACGTGCGCTCTGCACTTCATTTCCGCTTAAAGTGATGAGAAGTGTTATAGTTGGATCAGTAAAATACGACTCTTTATTCTACTTCTGCTTGTTTGTTATTTGACTTTTTGATTAGTTTGTGAAGCTACAAAACGCAACTATTTCTTGATTTGTCCACTGACAATAACAATACCACAAAGCAGAATCGACCCATTTTTTGTTTTTTATACTGGCTTTCGAAATGAAAATCAAATAAACAGAAGGTACACGGACCGACCCAGATACCCTGCCTCAGTTTGAATTATTTTCTTTGACTAATAAAGACAGAATCGCTGTTTTTAATGATTGTTTGATGACCAATGTGAGAATTTCTAATGCTAGGTTTTGTGTTTTGTGTTTGCACTTCAAAGCCAAAGTCTCAAGACACTGAGGGCAACTGGTGGAGTTTTAAATACTGTGATCATTATACTAAAATGAAAACAGCAGAATACATTTAGTTCATGTGGTCTTGGTCATATACAGGTTTTAGTACAAGTTAGGTCACAAGTTTGTTGGCTGGTCAGTCATTTAAGGACACCAGCCATTGGTTTAAAAACATATGCTCTACTTTCTACTATCAGAGCTGCCAAAAGTGACCTATAATCCACATACACACATGCACACACAGACACGCACACCCACCCACCTACATGTACACATGCACACACAAGTCCCTGATGTATTATCTAAACTCTAGTGAATATCATAGACTCTCTGCAAGATTTCCAAACTTTGTAAGAATGTACAGATGTACACATGATGTACACATACTGTGTAATTTCCCATGATTCCAATATAACTAATGTTGTATATTGTATTGTATATTGTTTACTGTCTATATATTATATTGTATGTTTATGTGAGTTGTACTACAGCAGAGTTTACGTCTCGTTACACCGGATACAATTACCACCGACATGTCTTGTATCAATCGATCAATCAATCAATCAATCAATCAGTTAATCATTCAGAAGGGATTTGTAAGGGCATTCTTCTAATAATTTATGTGAAATGAAAAATGCATGTCCATAATTTCTAGTTCATTTGTACTTCGTGTAGTCTTGGGTTTGGCATTGTCAGCCACTTCACAATATGTTATGTATCATCTTTTACTTTAAAAAGTGCTGTGTTAAATAATTAATAATTGTTACCTGTTTTAACACTTTTTGTGTCATATTATTTTGATTTAACACATTCTGTGGTAAAGAAACACAAAAGGTGTTGTCTCCAACTGAACCCACTGATGTGTCTAGTAAGATACAGCGTGTGTTGTTTTAAAACACATCTGTTTTAAGAGTGGTGGTGCAAATCCAAGTTTTTTTTTGTGGGGGTTGGGGAGGCTTGGGGGGTCAGACAGACATGATCTCTCAACTTTTAAAAATTCTCCAAGAACATTCTTGAGGGTTAGGAGGATGGTTGTTGAAAAAATTTACATGGCTTATATTATTGACAATATTTTGAAAATGTAATCAACATGCTCTTTACATCTAAACTCTGGAAGTATGGTAGCAATGCTCTTATTTCATTGTTACGTTTTCGTTGGAAACATTCTACTAAGTCAGTACTTGGTAACACCCCCTTTGGCAGATATTACAATTTGGAAATGGTTTTTGTAGCCAGCTAGGATTCTATTCTATTCTATTCTATTCTATTTCCTATTTAGTCTTTCTAGTTATGCAATATTCTTGGGCTGTCTTGCTTGCATAGCATGTTTAAGATCTCCCACAGATTTTCGATGATGTTCAGGTCAGGGGACAGTGAGGGCCAGTCCAAAAGCTTCAGCAAGCGTTTCTTGAAGTAGTTCATGGTGGATTTTGAGGTATGTTTTGGATCATTGTCCTGTTGTTGAAGCCAGCCTTTTCCAGCTTCAGTTTCTTGACTGACTGTGTCACATCTGCTTCCAGAACTTTCTTTCCATGCAGTGTTTCTTGTGCCACTGCCTGCCATATAACCCTCAAGCATAACTGATCCATCCCCATGATTAACAGTTGGCAAGGTGTTCTCTTCATCAAATATTATTCCTTTTTTCTCCAAATATACTTTTGGTGATTGTGGCCAGAGACTGTTTTTCCTTCATCAGTCCACAGCACTTGCTTCCAAAATACCTCTGTCTTATTGAGATGTTGTTTTACATTTGTATTTCATGTTAGCTTTTGTGATGAGGTCGCATGAAACATTTCTTTCTGATGACTCGTCCATGCAGATGATGTTTGTGCAAGATCTTTTGCCAAATAAACCTTCCTGCATTTCCTTGTGTCGTATACACTTACAAAAGATAGTTCTTCAATGATTCTTTAGTAAAGGCAATGTTTCTATTTAGAGCGAAGAGTTCCACAGTGTCCTCCACAAATATTAGCATCCCTGGTAAACATGAGCAAAACAGGCTGTAAAAAACATTCTTTTTTGCTGATTTGGGAGACGTTCTAATCCCAACACCTAACTAATGTCTGCAATTCCCCTGCTGTGATCCTTAGAGATTCTTTGTCCATTCAAACTATCCTCCTCACTGTGTGTGGGGTCAATATAGGCATACATCCTCTTCCCGGCAGATTCTTAACATCACCAGTTGTTTTAAACATCTTAATTATTGACCTGATAGTGGAAATGGGTATTTTCAAGTCATTTCCTGATTTTATGCAGCTCAACAACCTTTTTTCATATATCGTTGTTTTCTCTGGTCTTTCTAATAGTGATGGACGACGGATGGATGACTTCTAATCACTCAGGTGAACTTAAAAACATAAAATATGAATGGGAACATAATTCAGTTAGATTTCACTCTTAAGAATTTCTAAGGGTGCCAACAATTGTGGCACACACAGATTTAAGAAAAATATTTATTTCATGACAAGATTTTTTTTCTTTCCAAAATTATACCTTAAACAAAGGTTAGATTTTTGCTAATCTTTTGAATTAATGATCAACAGGCTAAGTAATTAAGAAAGGTTTTTACAGCCCATTTTGCTTACGATTATCAGGGGTGCCAATATTTGTGGAGGACACTGTACACAGAACCTTTTCATGCTTAAATGGTTCTTTGCATGGTAAAATGGTTCGGACCGATGTTACAATCTTGACATTCTAACAAGAGCAGAATCGTTTTCGGTGCTATATAGAACCATTTTCATAAGAGTATTTGTGAGGTCAGGCACTGATGTAAGACAAGAAGGCCTGTTTTGCAGTCAATATTCCAATTCATCACAAAAATGTCCAGTGGGGTTCAGGTCAGGGCTCTGTAATGGACCTTGCTTTGTGTACAGAGGCATAGTCATGCTCAAACAAGAAGGTGCCTTCTACAAACTGTTGCCACAAAGTTATGTGCATCGGCTTGGTCTCTGTTGCCACAAAGTTAAAAGCATATTATTGTCTAAAATGTCTCTGAATGCTGTAGCACTAATATTACACTTCACTGGCATTAAGGGGCCCAAACCCTGAAAAACACCCTCAGACTATTATCCCTCCTCCACCAAACTTTACTGTTATATGCATTGCAGCAGGTAGCATCTGCCAAACCCAGATTCGTCTTTCAGACTGTTAGATAGTAAAGTATGATTCTTCACACCAGAGAAAGCGTTCACTGCTCCAGAGTCTAGTGGCGGCGCGCTTTACACCACTCCAGCCAAAGCTTGGCATTGCGTGTAGTGATTATAGGCTTGTGTGCAGCTGCTTGGTCATAGAAACCCATTTCCTGAAGCTTCCAATGCACAGTTTTTGTGCTGATATTGCTTCCAGAGGCAGTTTGGTAGTGAGTGATGCAACAGAGGATAGGTATGTGCCTCAGCACTAAGTGGCCCCACTCTGTGAGTTTGCATGGTCTACTGCTTTGTGGTTGAGCTGCTGTTGCTCACAGATACATCCATTTCGTAATAGTAGCACTTACAGTTGACTGGGGCAGATCTAGCAAGGCAGAAGGTTTAGACTGGCTTGTGGCAAGAGTGACATCCTATGACAGTGCCGCGTTTAAAGTCTCTTAGCTCTTCAGTACGACCCATTCTACTGCCAGTGTTTGTTTATGGAGAACCTGAACTCAATAATTAGGAGGAGTGTCCACATACTTTTGGCCATATAGCGTGTCTTTGAAGTTAATGTTAGTTAACCACTCCAGACATGATCAAAACTTGCCACAATACTCAGCTAACTGGTTAACTATCACACTTTGTTGATAGATGCGAGAGTTTACTTAAGTAAAACAGGAAGTCGTGGATATCCACTTAAGAGTCCCAGAAGATTCAAAAAGAAGTAGAAGTTAAATGGGACAATATGTCCCAAAACAAGGAAATATTAACACTCATGCGTCCACTTCAAGGTCCAGCTGCCCTGCATGCCAGCCAGACTTCTCTTGTTGACTCTGAAAACTGTACCTGGAGACACACTTCAAAGCATTGAAATGATGAGTCACAGAATTTGCACAGCCATCATCTGCTTTATTCTTTTCAAGCTGTATTTCTGCCTTCAACAGGTCACAAAAAGATATCATTTTAGACCACAGTGCCAAAGTACCGCAGTTATATATATAAACTAAATGCTGACAAATGAAACTGGTCCATTTAGGTAGCTAAGCTAACTAGTTATCCAGTAAAATCAGATCCAAGGCAGAACACAGTGGTAACAGTGTTGTAATGGGTACAGTGTGCATGTAGGCTGACCTGCTTTTTCATATCAGCACAAAAAACAACCCAGGCAGTGCTCTTATATACAAAAACACCTAGAACATGAGCTTATCTGTACTTTAGTAGATGAAAATAGAAGACACAGACCACCAGGTTGTTGCTGCAGTAAGATTTATATGCCATTTGGTTTGAGAAACATTCCTCAGCAATGTGTGCCCTGTGAAATATAACTGTTTCAACAATAGTGGAGTAAAAAGAATACAGTTTCATTTATTTTAGGTCAAAGTAAACAAGAACAGAAAAGTGAGATAATTAAGATATACTGGTGTGCATTAAGAATGGACTAAGAGAACAGAGGACATAGGCCTCAGCTTAAGAGTCTTTACTGAGAAAAGTGGTAAAGTCAGATTTTGGCTTTCTTGAACTTCAAAAATGACCAGCAAAGCCAGGTATTCTATGTCCATTTCGAACTAATGGTTGTTGTACATAACAGGTATGTTGCTTAAACCATTTAGGTCACCTCTAGACATCTACACTAATTAGTGCTGGCTAGTGTGTCGGACTAGTGCAGTTACTTCAAGTGCCAAGTTAGATAGAGATAAAAAATACAAAATGTTTTACTTCATTTTTTTTTATAGAAAATATTATAGCTTCAAAATCCCTCAACCCAGATAGCACGGATTGTTAATCCTTGCCTTTAGAAGTTTGTCTTTAAATTTGAGAGATATATTAATAGAGATGTTACATTTTAGTCTTTCAATGCTGAGTCGGTTCTTCATTTTCCTGAGTGCTTCTATTAACTAACATGCTCATTCTTAACTGAACATTTGAAAGAGAGCAGGAAGCGAAAGCAGAAGGAGAGACGTGATGGAGAGCAATGACTCAGCTGCACTTGCCACGACAGGCTTGACGGTGGTGGTCGTAGTAGATGTGGTGCTGGCTTTGGGAGGGAAAGTGCCCACTACAGCGTTCAGGAAGCCTGAGAAGCTTGAGGTTTTAGTGAAGAGCTGGACATTTGAGGCACGAACTGTCTTGGTGCTGTTACTGGAGCTAGTGTTAGTGCCACTGTTGCTGGACAGGGTCAAAACCGCAGCCTGGACCCATGATTGTCCAATCTTACACATCAGAGGACCTCCTTTATTAGTCTGAGCGTGAGAGAGAGAGATTATGAGCCAGTGTTCCACAAACAGATTTTGCCTACAATGTGGGGTCAGCAATATACTGCAAACGACTAAAGAACTAAACAAAATCAAACTACCGCCAAACATGGTGTTGTAAAGAACTTCTAGTAAACTGCCTTAAGAGGACTTTTCAGAAAAATGTCGTCAAAATCACTATTTTAGTTGTATAATTGATCATATTTGCATGTACACGCCATATTTATACGCATTGTGTTGAGTGGTTTGTGTATTCCGCCATATTCCACCTCACAAGTCAAGACAAAGATAAACCTTGAGTTTAAAGTTTAACTTTCAAAACATGCAGCACAATTTCATTAGTCACTTTTATGTGTTGATACATCCACTGTATGCCACCATATTTGAGTCTCCAAACAGCAGATTTCAAGTAAAACTACTGGTGAATGTTAATTCTGATAAATAGAAACATGGAGTTCTTACTGTTACTAGCAAGTATTAGCAAAATATTAATGTCAGTGTAGTTTTTTATTAGCCTGATGCACACTAGTATACCAGCATGACAAAGTAACTAACCTTGAGTAAAGTTTGCTAACATCAGCTCTGTGAAACTAGCAACACTTCAGCAGCCAAGTAGACTATTGCTATTAGCATTTTTGTAAGACGCAAACTATGATTAAAAAGACCGAAACATTCGATAACATTTATGAACAATAAGGATTTCAAAAAATGGGTTTGTAAACAATTATATTCTCAGCTAGTGAAAGTCTTGTTAGTTAATAAGTGGATTTAAGAAGATTTAAGACTGATTTAAGACTGCCTGTTGATTCTCTGCCTCCAAAGCCATAGCAAAGTTTGTGGCAGAACAGAGGACGCTCAACAAGCTGTTAGCCATCTTGGATAACACCTCACACGCCCTGCATGCTACACTGGATAAACAGAGAATCACGTTCAGTGGCCGACTGTTACAGCTGTGCTGTGTTAAAGAGCGCAGTGTGAGATCTTTCTTACCCACTACTATAAGGCTCTACAGTGAGTCTCCTTACTGCAGAGACGGTACTGATCTTCTGCTGTCTGAACTGTGCTGGACCACATCACTATATCACCGCTCCTGTTAACACAGACTGTGCAATATATCATAACCTGCTGCTGTAATTACACTTTCACTATGCACTTTACACTGTAATGTTGCTGCAACTCCTAGTTATGTCTATACTCACTGTACCTCATACCACTCAGTGCCTGTTATCATGTAAATACAACAAATCTGTCTCGTATGCCATGTAAATATGCAAATAGATATACTTTTATTTCTTCTCTTATACTTAACTTATGTCTATTTTTTGTTTCTTTTTTTTTATTTTCCTTAAATGTAAATGTAAGTTTATGTGAAATTATATGTCTTGCTACTGAAACACTGCAGTTTCCCTTTGGGATCAATAAAGTTCTATCTACCTATCTATCTGTCTGTCTGTCTGTCTGTCTATCTATCTATTTGTCTACCTAAAGCTAAGAAGTAACAAGTAGCCTCCTCCTGGGCTTCAATTAAATGTTGAGAAATTAATCTAATCTATGTATCTAGCTTACCTTGCTAGTTATCCAGTACAATCAGATACAAAGCAGAACACAGTGGTAGCAGTGTTGTAATATATACAGTGTGCATGTGACCTGACTTGCTTTTTCACATCAGTAGAAAAGCGATCCAGGTGGTGTTTTTTTTATATACCAGTAGTGCCCAGAGCAAATCCATAAATCTAACAGTGCTCCTGTAGCTTCCTGTGCTTCTTGTACTTTGTGAATTCATTGTAGTGTAATAATAAAATGGATTTCAGAAGGATTTAAAAGTATGTTAACATACAGACCTGTTCTAAGGGCATGACTCCTGTGCAGATGCTGCTGTTAGATGAGGATGCATTACCACAGTTCAGTATAGTTGTGTTAAACTGCTGAAGAGTCTGCTCAACTACAGCAGAAGGAAAACAAATATGAGGAAGAAGACCAAGAAAAAATAAAATGGCCTAACATCCATTGGAAATGGACACATACATTGAAGAAGCAATGGCTTTACAGCGATTTTACACTCATTTGCATATTAGTAATTGCTGTTTTGAATTGAAAGGGTGAAAACAAGTTGAAAGGATTGGCTACCATGTAGTTTGGATAGCAAGTATTCAATCTAGTGTATTGTCTCATTTACCTGTAGTGGTCAGCTAATCCAGCTGAAGTTTTAGTACATTACAGATTGTATTCCCTTAAAACATACTAAAACTGTATTGGCTATTATGCAAGCTAACTATCACAGTTGCTATACAAACTACAGACTGACCTACTGGTTTAAATTGTTGTGCCTCTTTCATTGACATATTGCACTTACTGTGTGTAGTACTTCAGGCCTGTCATTCAGACATAAGGTTTTTCTATAAAATGAAGGGTCCTTGTTTAAAGCTGGTAGATTTAAAGTAGGGGGTTACTTTGGTACAATGCAGTAGCTGGAGCTTATAATGAGACTAAACAAAAATTCCATGAATTTCCATGAACACGAGACTCGACTCGGACTTGCATGAAACGACTTTTGAACATCTCTTGCCATTAAAGGTCATGATAAACAAGCTATTCTGCCAAGCATTGTAGCTTGTTAAAAGTAGATTATGTTTTACAATGGTTATGTATGCCATATATGTGAATAGCAAGTATTTTACGATTTTAGACGTGGCTCATCAAATCAGATTCTACAGCATGTAGAAATAAACATACCTCCTCCTCCTGAACCCCAGCCAGCTGCCCAGCACTGAGTGTTAACAGGGAAGCTGTTGTCCCCCAGGTCCACACATATGGGCTGAATGTAGTTTGTGAGTGTTGGCTTGCGAGACAATTGCAGTACTGCTACATTGTTTGCTGTACCATTGCTCAGTGAGATTTTGGTCACGCTTATAGAGACCTCGTTGGCGTTGGAGCTGTTATGTTTGAGCCGACCCAGAATTACAGTCCAGTCAGAAGCATTGGTGGAGCTGTGAGATAAGGTACAGCAGAATATCAAATCATATAATTTGCACTGATGTGTGTTGATGTGGTTTCGATTCCTGACTTAACTTTTGAGTTTCATATTGATAATTCTGTAGTTTTTACCTAGAGAAGCAATCAGCGGAGCTCAAGACAAACTGCTCAGCTACCAGTGTTCCTCCACAGACATGAGTACCACTACGTTGCAGGCTGGCCATCCATGGCCACACACCTGCAAATGCCAAGGAGTTGCCCCCTCCTGTAACAGTATTCAGCTTGGCACTGCCACACACCACAGCTGGAGCAAGAGAGGAAATAAAGTATAATTAATGACTAATTTTCCTTAGCAGTTTGCCTTCAACTATTCCCTTTGCCTGATAATGAAGTTCTCGTCACAGAGGACTCCAGATGCAGTCCGCAGTAAATGTAGATAATCTTACGTGAAGCAGTAGTTGTAGAGACCGTGGTGGTTATGGTGGTTGTAGTGGTTGTAGTGTTTGTAGCAACAGTAGGCAGGCCGGTACAGGACACACTCAGGTCCCCATCAGAGCCAGTAGAATTGAATCTAACAAAGCCTGGCTGGTTGCTGGTGATCTGCTGGTTGACCCAGTCTTGGTACTGAGACACTCTAGTATACACTCCAGGGTAATTTGGCAGAGCACAGCTGTAACCAAAGCTCACAATGCCTGCCTGGACCCAAACACCGCCCTGTTTGCTGACCAGTGGACCTCCAGAGTCTCCCTGTGCAGAACCAGATAGATATCTATGTGTATACAATGAACACCCTTAAATGGAAAAAGGAACAATGCAAGCAGTGAAGAGATTAGGAAGAGATTACCTGACAGGAGTCTTTGCCCCCTGCCAGCAATCCAGCACACATCATGTTGTCAGTGATAGTTCCATCTCCATATAAGCAGTTACATTTCCTGTTTCCAACAACTGGGACTTGTACTTCCTGCAGGGTCTTTGGAGAGGCGAGACTTACTGAGGAAACACACATTGAAGATCATTTTGACTGTGTCATTTTACAATGTCAACAAATTTCACTGAGGTGTGAAAATGTGCTTTAATTGCAAATATTCCTCTACAAACTTTGGAGTACAATTGTGTGTGAAATACCTAATTAAATTTGTGGTATAATGATCACGTCTCATTAAAGTAACTATGTCATACTCTTTGTTACAGGGATGCCAACTCTGCTCCTACAAATCCACCCTCCTAAAGAGATCAATTCTAATAGAAACCTAACCTTCCAGACCCAGAAAGTCTTCAGAAAGGCCATTGTTTCTTTATGTTTCTAGTCCATGGCTGTACACTTGGTATGTTAAGTTAATTGCCACCAAACTGTAAATGATAAGTCAGCAAAGTGTGGCTAAACTCTGGTCTATGTATACTATAAAAAACATACGCAAAGATTTTATTAGCATGAAAAATGCAAAATGTCCTTCTCTGTCTAATGGATACAACCCTCGTAAAATGACATGTTTTATTGATTTTCCTAGTGAAAACAAGTTACAGGTCCTCTACAGGTAATTTTAAACATGGCATTTTTCTGCACATTATGGTAAACTATGTATGTTAAACTCAGCAAATGAACAGCATTAAAATGTGCAGAAGTTTGTTCTCTGTAGAGGATGTGTTAATGTGTTAACAAAACATGTAATTTGACATGTTAGCACACAACCTCTATTTATTTGCTGAGTTTAACATATTGCAAAAAAAAAAAACATAAAATATAAAATGTTCCATAACTTTTGCCACATTTTATGTTTAATTTTCCAAGATGCTAAATTCAGCAAATAAACAGCAATTTGAAACCATTAAAACAAAAGTGTGTTTTCTGTAGAGGATGTTTGAACTTATTTTCACTTATAAAATCAACAAAACATGCCATTTGACCAGAAGCGCTCAAACTTTTGCATACAACAATAAGCATCTGAGTGAGGGCCATGAAAACGTGGGAGTGTCTTGGAAAAAAGGTGATTGGAGAAATTACATGTGCGGCTGATTACATATCCTGATCAATTTACTACAGTTTGAACAACTTGCGACAGATGGTTTTTGCATCAATTAAAAAGATCAGAGACTCTTTAACTATGGCAGCAGACATAACGGATAGATGGAGTTATGGGGCACCTATTGAGTTTGCATCAAAGCACATTTTACACTGCACTTGCGCTCATACATACATCTGGCCCTTAGAACGATGTAGGATTGCATATTAGCAGAGCAGCAAATAACCCAACTTTAAAGTATTCTTTTAGTAAACTACCATAAAGGTAGTTGGGCACTTACACTATTTATGTTTAAGTGTATGTAGAACAATAAGCATTGTGAATCATGCGGTACATAGGATGTAGCCTCAATTTGACCCAGTTTGATAAATTATTTAGGCCTTAGCTCCCTCACAAATCTCTCCTAATTTCTCACCTCCACTGGCGGTGTTTCCCCAGCCAGTGACCCAGGTCAGAGTGCCATTGAAGAATGTGCTTCCGGCTGCAGCCAGGCAGACAGGCGTAATATAAGGAGTGAAGGTCACGCTAGAGTTCAGCTGCAGCAGGGCGAGGTCGTTGTCATTCGTGGATGAACTGTAGCTGGGATGTTTGATGGCTTGCAAAACAGATCTGGTCACTACATTTGGGTTACTTCCCTGAGTGCTCAGTGACTGATCACCCAGATACACGGTCGCTTGTGGAGCAGTAATGCTGAAAAAAAGAGGAAAGACATTCTCATCACCATCTGATAAATGCTCTTTTTGCAGTATTACAAGCGACACTTCAGAATTTTTATTTAGTGTGAAACCTTGCAAAGCAGTGGGCCGCTGTTAGAACCCAGTTAGAGTTGATGAGGGATCCACCGCAGAAATGGCTGCCAGAAACCTGCAAGCTGACTTGCCAAGGCCAAGAACCTGGAGAAGCATCCTGTCCTCCCACTATCTTGGTATTTAGAGAAGCCACACCACACACTGGCAAAGAGAGAAGAGCAACATGCTAGTTAGAATCAAGTTAGGTGGGTGACTGCCCTGGATGGTGTGGATTGCATCACACGGTGTAACGAAGGGAGACTGGCTAAAGTAAAACAGAACGCTTATATTTCTTACTTTCATTGTCAAGAAAAAATAAGACTTCATCTTACATCATCTGCCACTTTCTGCTCTCTTAAACTAAGGCTGGCTTGACATGATGAAACCTTAATGCAATTAGTTGCATGCTGTGACTCCTCCATATAGTCTTCCACAGGTTGTTATTTACTTGCAATATGTTTATCATTTTTCCAGCTATCACTGTCGTGCTTTTTCCCCCATATCTATACATTGGTCTTTTCTCAACATATCTAAGTTTCTTTGAGTTTTTCTATCTGTTGTAAGTATGTTAAGGTTCTGTTTTAGTTTCTGATCTGGTGAAATTATGCCATTCGACATGATCACCTGATGCGTTACTGCCGTTCTGGTTGGCTGTTTCATGGAACTTGTTTCACAAAGTTGAGATGCTTGCAGCTGTGGCGGCTTGGTGTCAACTGAGTTACAGGAAACTATGCAGCTTGAGTATAAATTAGTTTCATTTAAGTTTCAAGGGAGTAAAGGAAGTTGCATGAAAGTTACATCATTCAAACCCACCTACACTGAGTTTAAACTGTTTTGGTATAGACTAATAGGTTCAATGTCAGTGTCAAGAAAGGGGAAAAATGAAAATTCTACTTATTTTATCCACTATAACAATGGAGCTGATTGTTATAAAGCTTTCTCAGTTATTTTAGAATCATTCACAGCTCTGTTCTTCATTCTGGACTCATCTAACATTTCTTAATTTCTTTACAGCTTCCTACTAACTATTTCAAAGCTAAAAAATTGCACTGGACTAGAATACCAAATTCACTTTATGCATTTATCTGTAACCAAATTGGCTTTATATTGTTGAAAATTCAATAATTATTCAAACATTGCTTTACATTATTTAGTAAAAATAAGAAATAACTTACCATTCAACTGTGAGTGGCATCCTGAAAGAAACAGAACAATGTTAATGCTCAATCATTCAGTAACATTTACTGAGACAGTGGATTTTTGCTCTAAGTTCAAGCAGATTAATAGAAAAAGATGAGATGTCAATGAAACAAAATACTAGAATAACAGAATCTTTTATGTCTTTGTCTTGTATCTGATCCTTCAGAACAGCACTTCAGCGAGTACTAGTCCCATTTTAAATGACTCAAATACTCAAATATGAAATGACAAGTATTCAAATATTCAGACAGACACACTTTCAAGACCTGTTCAGGGATCACACCTATTCCAATGGAGGGGTCCTGTAGCCTCATATGTTGTATGTCTAACATATTATTATTTTGCCACTGCCCTTTGCTCTTTCCCTTATTTTTCTGTAATGAGGTGTCATGACGTCTCATGACCAGACCAGATCTGTTGAGAAAAGTTTCTGGTGAAGTGAATGGCTATCTAAACAAAATATAGTGTCTCTTTTGATAATAGGACAGAAGACACGCAAGTCATATACAAAAGTTTGGGCAACCCTGGCCGAATGGTGAAAATAAGTGAACACATCCTCTACAGAGAACGCACTACTGCACATTTTAGTGCAAAAGTTATAGCACATTTGATATTTTATGTCATAAATTATGCATGTAAACCTAGCACAAAAAATACACCCAAACTGTACATATATATATATATATATATATAATATATATATATATATATACACATGGCACCCCGTCAAATTACATTTTGTTGATTTTCAGTGAAAGTAAATCAGCACATTCTTTACGAAGAACAAATTTAAATACAAATTCTATTTGTTTGTTTATTTTTGTGTACTAAGTTTATACACATAAAATATAGAATATACAAAGAACACACTTCTGCACACTTTAATGCACAATTACTGTTTATTTGCTGAACTGTTTATTTGAGAAAAAAATATAACATACAAAAGTTATGGCCCATTTAACATATGATTTATTTTTTTGCAATATATTAAACTCAGCAGATAGCTAGAAATCATGCATATTTAGGTTTGTTCTCTGTAGAGAATATGTTAACTTACTTTTATGTTTTTTATGCAAAACACTTCATTCGAAAATGTATACAGTACTGTGCAAAAGTTTTATGCTATAAAACATAACAGTTCCACTAACCTTTTGGTTTTGGTTTACTCCATTTATCTGTTAAACTTATTAATAGAAGTCTAGTAACATGTACTATTTCTTGTATAATGCGTTAGTTACTTAAGTATAGCTAGTTAAGGTCAGTTAATTTGGAGTTCTATAGACTGAAGAGTCTTTTACCCAAAAAGCTTCATAGCATTCTTGGTAGTTTTGTTGGTTTCTGTTCATTATCTAATATTTGAAACCAATTTCCTTGTTTTTGTTCTTCTCACCATAATTGTGTTTTGTGTTCAGGTTTACCAGTTCAGGACCACTATTAGTGGGTGAAATCCAGCCCCTCGGTGGTTTCTGAACAGAATGGCAATGATACTCAAAGCCATTTGAGTTCTCAAAAATGGGTGACTCTACTACTTTATGATGAAATGGATAAGACATTGTGTAGCTATTTGATATTCAGTCATTTGTTCATTACTGTATGAAACAGTCCATTTAAAAGGTGATAATCTTGCATTACAATTGCATGAATATTTACATTAACTTACATTCTTCCATAAACCTACCATTTTGGAGGTACTTGTTTTTCTTTGGACAGTGACGATATGCTGCTGATGGAATTTAATAAATACATGTGATGGCTTGGGGTGTGGCATTCTTCTGCACATTCAGCACACAATTTCAAATTATTTGCTGAGTTTAACATATTGGAAAAAAATAAAACACCTAAAAATATATAAAAATATATAAATGTGCCGTAACTTTTGCACAGGCCACATTTATGTTTTGTTTTCTAATATGTTAAATTCAGCAAATAAACAGCTATTTTGAACAGTTATTACAGTGTGTTCTCTGTAGAGGATGTTTTAACTTATTTTCACTTAGAAAATCAACAAAGTGTCATTTGACCAGAGGTGCCCAAACGTTTGCATGACTGTATAATATGTCTTTTCTTAAACTGTCATCATAAAAAATGTCAAAACTCAACAGAAATATGTGCATTTTCCAAATGATAGGAAATGTAATGAAGGCTCAGCTCCACCCACACTTGGCATAGCCATGCTGAAAGACTGTAGTACATGACTAGAGTATCCATGTCTTCATCCTTTGTACTAATGACAACATTCACACAAATGTTTCATGTTTTCTGAGATCTCACTGGATAATGCAGTTCTGAGACCCATTCTTTAATCCATTTTCTAAAAATCAACTTTTGAAACTAAATTCTGTAAACACTAGAACACCTGCATTCAGAAAATGTACATGTTTATTTTGATAAATATTACAGAGGGATTTCTTAATATGTTGTTCATAGCTGGATTTATGAATATATACTACAAAATGACCTGTAAATGTTTTTGTAATAGCAATATTACTGGATTAA